TATGAACTTGAAGCAGGATCCTCCAAAGCTTGTCGGATCGCCTCCAAGTCTCCTTGATGCGCTTCTATGAATTTCCATAATGTATAAGCGCTATCAAAAGAATCAACATAGTCGCAGTCGCGTATTTTTACTTGTAGAGACTCCACTGTAGTTTTGAGTTTTATCCAGATATTAGAGTTTCATATTCATATTGTAAAGGTAGTGTGCCTTAGTACGATTTTTAGTTGATTCATGTAGAGACATTTTCATTATTCAGATATCAGATGTATTATAGTTGAGACTGTTAGACCCTAGAGGGGGGTTGATTAGGGTCTTATGCTAATCTAATCCGATTAAATACCAATTAAAATTAATTAACAAGTTATCCTAGCAATTATGAAATACAATAATATATGAGCTAGGATAAACAATATGAATAACGAGATATATCCTAACAAAGAGATATAGGCAATGTATGTGCAATGATATATAAACTAACACAAGGGTAAACAAAATAAACTGGATAGTGGATGAAATAAATGAGCAATGCACAATTGGCGATATAAGATAAATGCAAAAGCAAATGCGCCAATGACAAACTCAAACACACTCAAATGATCACGGAGTTCGGACCTTCCGTCCTACATCTCCGCTCCCCACTCCCGGGGAGAAATCCACTATCACAACCCGGTTTGGAAGCCGGAACTTCTACACACTCGGTTTACATTCTAGACAAACAATAAGTTGAAGGATGGATGAAATCGAGCATTCACGATCACATCAAATGGAGGTTGGCGGAATAGTATAATGAAACCTATGCATACTAGTCAAGATCCAAGTTCAAGCTTCTTCCATGTTTACCAAGACAAGCTACAATAACGATCTATCAAGCTTGAGTAAATTAGTTTAGGGTTTATACTTTGTGTGTTAATATCTTAAGCTCAATATTATACACACACAATTTAATAGTTTATGTGTTTTATCCACAAAAGATTTTGCAAACAAATATATATATAATACTTATTTATTTTCTATGTGGATAAGTTGTTTTGGTTTAGCTATATAGATATGAAGAAATATATATCTTCATTTTCACATTTATACGCTTCATATTCTATTGAATTTACAAAATATTATGTTTATAGATTGAAGACTTATTTACACTATTTTCATATCTTGTATAAGTCTATAAATCTATTCTAAAGTGTTTCAAAGTTTTATTTAAGTCATTCTGGCAAAATCAAGTTTTCAACATGTTCATACTTATGTGATTTTGTAAAATGATGAGATTTTACAAATAAGAAATGTAAATTAAAAAATTCTTTTTGTAACATGTTCATTATCATGGTTACACTCATTTTCCAAAGTTTTATATTTTTCTGAATTTATTTGATATTTTTAAAAGAGGTTTGAATTTTATTTTTACTATTCAATCCAGGCTGATAACATGTTATCAGTCGACTAATGGCTGATAATCATATTTTATTACAGTTTTATACCCTTATTATCTATTTTATATGAATAAATATACCATTAATAATTGTTGTTAGATTAGTTTGCACATAAATGAATGAAAATATAAATAAATATTATTAAATGTAAAAACCCCTCAAAATCTATCTTCTTTATTTTTGTAGCATTTTAGAAGCCCATGAAGCAAAAGCTTAAAAGAGGAAAATGATTGAAGCCCAAAGAGCAAAGCCCATAAAAAAAAAAATATACCAAGAAAAGCAATGGAATGGACTTGGATGCAAAGAGTTGGAATAAAATGGACTTAGATGCAAAAATTGGGGTTTTAATTTTCACATGAATCAAGGACCGGACAATGAAGTTGCTGTGTTGAAGAAGTGGGCCGGATTTCAATTAAAAAAAAAACAACCAAATGGAGAAATGGGCCGGAAATCTAATGGAGAAATGAAGAAATGGGCTGCTGCAAACTTAGCTTGTAAAAGTCAAGTGAATTACATAATGGGCCGGACTTTGATGCATTGTCCATTTGTCATTGGACTCTTCATTTTCTAAAACAAATGAAGCATGAATTGGGCCAATGAATGCTGCAGAATTGGATCCCAAATGGACCGGACTTGCTTACTTGATGCAATTTGATTTTCAATTGTAAATGAAAATCAATTAGGCCTCTTATGATTGAGCTAGAACAAAAAGCAAATTCAAAGGTGGAGATTGTTACTTGGGGCTCAAGACAAATCCAATGGCTCATATTCATTGAAAATTACTATAAATAGGGGTAGAGAGTGAGGGGTTAAGGTGTGAAAATTTTATAAACTCCTTTTGGAGAGGAGGGCTACTCTTAATTGAGAAGGCCTTCCAAAAATTGTAACTTTAGTTGCAATTAATAATAATAATTTTTTCACCACTTTAAATATTTCTTCTCTTTGTTGGATGATGAAGATGGAGATGAAGAATTATTTAGAGGTTTGCATTTTCTTTCCTTTTTCTCTTTTATTTCCTTTTTATTGCTTATTAGTGTAGATTTATTTCTATGCTTGTAGTTTAGATTTTATTTTCTTGTTAAATAGCCAAGAGGCTAGAACCCTCTTGCCTTAGATTTATTTCATGCTTATAGAATAGATTTATTTTCTTGCATTTAATTCTTGCAATTTTATTCTTTAGTTTAGATTTTGCAATTTATTTTGTAGTTAGATTTTAATTTCTTGCACTATTCACCTTGAGGCTAGAACCCTCTTGGGTTTAGTTTTTCTTTTTGTTTATTTTTATGCTGTTTGATTCACCTTTAGGCTAGAACCCTCTAGGGAATCACCCTTTTCTAAGAAGTGGGTTCAATTTTAGATTATCCATATCTATAATTGAATCCACCATCTTTAATTTTTTGCATTTTCTTTTATTCTAGAATTTTAAGATTATCCATATCTATAATTGAATCCACCATCTTTAATTTTTTGCATTTTCTTTTATTCTAGAATTTTATTCTTCATTCTTGATTTTTTTTTGTTTCTTGATTTTATTCATTTTTTCCTTCTCACCTTATTAATCATACTCATTCTTTTTCAAATCCACTCTCATTTACACTTTGCACCTACTTACACACAATTTTCACTATCTCAATCTCTTCACAATCACATTCACTTATCACTCCTATTTGTCACGCACACAACATAAGAACCGATTTTATATTTTCTCCTACAAAACACCTTCCTCGTGGGATCGATATTTTTATACCATAACTTGATAAATTGTGCACTTGCAATTTTGGTACATAATTATGCCGCACCAATGGCGTGTATCAGCCAACTGATGAAACTGCCTGTAATCATCAAAAGTTTCTGTTTCGTTTTGATCGACTGACCAGTCGACTAATGAGGTCATCAGTCGACTGATTATGCTCATCAGTCGACCGATGAGCTGTTAGCTGCTTATAACGGTCAGCTCATCAGTCGACTGATCCAATCTGTCAGTCGACTGATGGCCTGTAACAACTATATTTTAGTTTCTGTTTTTTTTATCATTTTGTTAGATTTCACTTGGGTTTTGAGCTTTGTTTCTTCATCCTATATATACCCTATACCATTTCACTTCTAAACTAAGAAGATAAGTTTTAAAACAAGTTTAAAAAGAGTTTTAGTTTGTTTTAAGTGTTTGTTTTACAAAATTAGTTTTGTGAAGATTATTTTACAAGAAGAGGAGATCAATTTTAGTTTGAGCTTTCAATCTTCCTATCCCTCTCTCTTGTGATTAGAGAAGTATTTCTAAACTCATATCTCTAGCATGTTTATGCTTTAATTATTATATTTATATTTGGTAGATTTAATTGAGTTTATATTTAATTTTCTCATTGCTTGCACACACAACCATTGAGCTTAACTATTTTCACATATTGTATAATTTGGGGTTGTGGTGAGTGTAACCTTGAGAGTGAGCTTAAATTATTTTCTCACCTATTGTATAGAACAAAATCTTGTATTTGACCCTTATTGTGAGAGTTCACCTTGTAATACATATTTACACCAAGAGGAGTGTGTGGTGAGGACGTAGTCGATACCAAGAGGAGTGACGTCGGTAGTAAAGCCTAGAGAGAGGTAGTAAAGTCGAGTACTTGAGGGAGGCGATACGTGAGGACCAACACTTGAGGTTGTAGTTTGTGTATGTATATTGTAAGAGATTTGTAGAGTTTTCGGTGAGATAGAAAACCGAGTGTGTAGAGAAGTTTCGGCTTCCAAACCGGGTGTGTCGATAGTGGAGTTCTCCTCGGGAGTGGGGAGCGGAGACGTAGGATGGAAGGTCTGAACTCCGTGATCATATTATTATGTTTGGATTGCTCTTTGTGTCCACTATTTGTTTATATTGTTTCTTGTTTATTTTCCCCTTTGCATATATACCCTTGCATATATCTTATTGAATATCATCATTGTTAGGATATATTTGTTAATAACTTTTAATCGGCATTAATATCTAATAAGATTCTAGCTAGGGTACTTGCATCCTTCACAACCAACTCATAACCTTAACAACAAACTCATTACAGAAAATAACAATAATATATAAATTTACAGACTCTGCTTTAATCTTAAGTCATCGATTTTAAAAAAAATTATAACAATATGTAAAATAACAAAAAGATACAACTCTCAGGTTCAAATACAAGTTAAAAAGGGAAAAATTACACTGGGAGTCGTCGGAGCCTCCTTATTCTTCGGAACAGTGACGCTGAATCCATCAAAACTCGTCATCACCGTCTTCAAGATAATATTTTTCTTCGCCTCATGAACGAACGCTGGGAAAGTTCCATCGTCGATGTTGATGCCGTTGAAAAATTTTAGAGGGAACTAGAATTTTTTCACTCAGAACCCATTTCAAATCATCATAGTGACATCATGAGAGAGAGAGAGAGAGAGAGAGAGAGAGAGAGAGAGAATGAGTATTATGATCTTCACATGTTTTAAACTTTTAGCTTTTGTGTTTTTGGGGCTCTGAGAATTGTGGATTTGCTTTTAAGGGTTTTGTGAGTGTTGAAAAAGTCTTGGGTGGGGGAAGAATAGTTGTTATTTTAGGCGCTAGAAGCAATTTTCCTATAAAAAAAAATTCGAATCCCCTCACTCTAATCACAATTACCTCTCTTAGCCCTCTCCTTAATCCAGTCAAAAATAATTTCAAACCCAAACTCAACCATGTCCTCCCTCTCAGCCACCAACTGATGCCACGTTCCCTCCAAAACTTCCAAACGCTTATCTTCACTCCCAATCAAACCGAACACAGCCTTAGCAGACCCCAAATCACACACACGGTCCTCACTCCCGTGCACCATCAACACCGGCAGCCTCAGCTCCGGACTCCTCCTCTCGATCTCTCTGACCACCCTCAGAAACTCCATCGCCGTTGCGAACGTTGGGTGCTCTGCCTTGCTCGCTGTCGGCCTCCGGCGAGCCAACGCCCTCTTCCACTTCACCTTGTATGAGCTCTCAATCAATGACTTCGTAAATATTGCTCTAAATTTTGGCAACAAGAATGCTACTAGAGGTAGAAACTCCTCCAACGGCCATATCGGTTTGAATTTCATCGACACGCCGCACATCGCCCGTGAGGCACAAGCCGACCAAGCAGCCTGTTTGCGCCGGCAGCGCGATCAGCATTGCGATGCGCCGCCGAGGATTCACCGTAGAGAAGGCAGGGAGGCCGAGGGTGCTCTTTCGAGCGGTCAAAGACTTGGATGCAGTCAGGCGACGACGGGTCGATCGACGGGAGGTGGGTCGAGGGCCGTACGGACCGGCCGTGGCGGGGAGGTCGAGGGCGAACCGCCACAATCCTTGTTCTGCGATGGCGACGGCTGTCAGCGTGAAGAGCCAGTGCTCTCGGAGGCGTAGCCGTGGATCATGGCCGACGAGCCGCGAGGGGGGTCCGGCAGCCGACGACCGGGCGCCATGACCTGAGTGAAGATTTCGTGTTCTGGCGTTGGGAAGAAGCTCCTCCTTGGTGGATGATGCCATGCTTTTGGTAGAAGTGTTGCGCTTGTTAGGTCCCCCAAAGGGGCTGTGCTCCATTGCTTGGTTGTATTGGAATGAGCCATGAAATGAGGGAGGGAGCGAGGCCGAGGGGCCTACGGTTTTATAGTGAGTGATCGATGAGGCATTAAATCGAGAGGGTTGGGGGGGTTAGTAACTGTTCCTAACTTTGAGACTCAAGTAAGGATACAATCAATACGAATGGACTCCCAGCCTTTTGTCTTAAACTTAAAAAAGAACGGTTTTTCTATAGAGTGTCCTTGGGCACTCTATAAGAGAGGAGAGAGATAGAGAGAAATGAATGAAGAGAGGATCCCAATGCAAATCAGAGGGCCCCCCTCCTCATTCATTTCTCTCTATCTCTCTCCTCTCTTATAGAGTGCCCAAGGGCACTCTATAGAAAAACCGAAAAAAGAAACACCCACCCCATCATCCATTTGCAAAAGGATCTCTTTATTACTAATACTGGGGATACACCCCCGAGTGAATTTATTTTGACTCCTTTACTCTCAGAGAGAAAGAGGAAATTGTTCTTTTTTTTTTACAAACAGACCTAAGGGTAAAAGAGTGTGTAAAAATAAAATAAAAAACACTCACGGATCAATCTGCAAAAATAAAACTATAATTAAGGGGTCTATCCGAAATTAACCCATGGAACATGAGTGGTCATTGTAATAAATTTTATTAATGGATTCAAAACGCTAAGTTCGGTTAAAAGAAACAAATCTTAGATGAGGACTCGTGGCAAGAGAGGAGATATAAAAGGTCTTAATGCTCAGTACGAGGCTGTGTAACAGTTTAAGAGGGGTATTTATCTAAGGCTTCAGCTATAATTACTTGCAAAACGTATATACTACAAAGAGTGTTGCTACGGGGACCCAAAATATGGGACCAGGGGGGGACAGGTGAGGTGTCCATTCCTTATTGCATAATGAGTTGGCATGACCAACTCATTATGCAATAGGGAATGGACACCTCACCTGTCTCCTCCCTTGGTCCCATATTTTGGGCCCTTAAATCATTTTCCTACTACAAATTTAAATGCAGGAGTTTCATATATTTGATAAAGATACAGTGCCTTCTCTAAATGGATCACCAGAGCCTAAACTGCACTAACGCTCTCTAGAATAGCAACGGCCTCATTACTGTTGGGCAAAATACCCCAATTGTTGTTGAAAACCGTGTCTAGAAACCAAACCAATTGCCAATCAACGAGGGTCAAAACCAACCAAAATCAATGCACAAACAAAACACCAATTTTAACGTGGTTCAGCAATTGTCTACGTCCACGGGGCAAGAAGGGGATGTGGTTTTTTACTAATAGAGAAGAAGAGTACAACTTAAGATTACAAATCACTCGAAGGAACAAACTAATCTCACCAACAAATCTCTTAATCTCTCCAAATAAACCCTAATCAAATAGCTCAGAAAATACCTCTTTTCTATGCTCCAAATATCCCAAACTCTTGCCTTAAGAAACCCTAGAACGTGTATTAGTATTTATACAAACACCATAACCAAATAAGAATAGGAAACAGATTTTGGGCCTGACCTGCTACGCGGTCGACCGCGACCAAGGACAGAACCTAAAATCACTTACAGAGTCTGGCGCCAAATCCAAACTCCTCCCAGAGTCTGTGCACGTTCGCGGTCCACCGACCTTGCGCCGCGGTCGACCGCGCAGCTCCCAAATGGTTCCCCTGCGCTTCCCAAACCTGTTCTTCACCAAATTTCTCACGGTTTCTTCAATTCTCCACCTCGGTGAAGTTTCTTCCAAAAACTGAGCCGACACCGACCAAACCAAATGCCTCACTTATTACGTCCAGTACACCATGGTAATGGACTCATGACAACGGACTCCATCCAGAACAAATCGAGACCCAAACGGAAGTGCGAACACTCACCCAAATATCGGTATCTACTCACCAAATCGGCTGCATCAAAACTGACTGCCTACGTATCCACTTTCCCAAGGAATCAAGCCTTCACGTAGTTCACCCAAATGGCCTCCAAAGGCCCTCAATCAAATAGAAAAGTTTGCAACTCTTCACCAATATCGCCAACGGATCTGCAATTGATAGCGGCCCCAAACTGATACAAATAAAATACCTCCATAAGAGGTGAACCAATGGCCGTATCCAAATCATGTCCACCAGCTACAACTGAAAACAAAGCCAATCCATCATCTGCATCCAAAATCAAATGATCCCCAACCTGTGCCACCTCAGCTGGAATCCCAAATGACGTAGTATGATCTGGAGTATGTGGAATAAGTTCCACTCAACGTGAAGTAGCATCACCCTCTACCTGCTGTTATATCCAAATGACCTGATCAATACTCTCCACCTGCTGAGAGTCAAAAGTGACATTCCAAAATCAGAAGCTTCCAAATGATAATCAAATGAGCCTCCGAATCCCAAACGCGCAATCGGATCAAATCTCACATCCTCGATGTGACCAAATATTGGATAATCAAATATCCGATACCAACCAAAATCTGAAGCAGCTCCACCAAATCCAATAACTCCTAATGCAACAGTCAGCGACCTATGACTAAGATGACCCAAATATATCAAAATTTCAGAACCAGAACCAATATCGACAACCAATACCGATCCTCCTCCAAAAAGGAACGACCCATCGAAACTGTCATCTCATCTCGTCGCCCCAAAGTCTCCTCACCAATAAAGTGTTTCAAGTTGCCATGAGCTCGGCAAAAACACAAGAAAGGACCCCTACTAAATCTAGAACAACGAGTTACTTTTTTGCCAATACACTTCTTCCAATTGTTGTTGACTTCTAGGACTTTACACCAACAGGAACTGGTTGCGACCCAATATTACCTAGAACAATCACCAACTGCAGAAACTACAAAACGATTACCTCCCAATGATGTCTCCTTGGAAGGCCCCCAAATGCCTGACTGAACACCTTCTAAAAGACCCCTCGCTCGATGGATAGAAGTGCCAAACTCTACCACGGTCTTGCTCATCCCAATGTGCTAAAAGGACTTCCATCTGTAGGTCAAAGCACTCCTCAACAATCTATGCACGGCATCACCAATCATATACCCCAGCACCAAACTACGCCATAATCTAGCCAAATCTAATAAAGTCGTCAGAGCTCTATCAATCACCGTGCTCCCAAGCAAATAGTATAAGTTACTCCTTCTAATGCCCTTCGTCACAATCATGGACCTAAATGTAACCTTCAAATGTGCATCCGCCAAGGTCATCCTATAGCCTGTTGCGTTAAAAGCTCCAAGTGAAATGATGTTCTTCTTCAACTGAGGAACGAACCTCACTCCAACTAACTCCCGAATCACTCCGTCACTCATCCTGATCCGAATGGTGCCAATACCACAAATAGGGCATTCATGATCATTACTGTAAAACCCCATAATTTTTATAATGAATATATGTGAATTATTAGTGATAAATAATTCTTTTATGATAAACAATCATATATATTATAGATAAATGTGATAACCAGTGTTTGGGAACCCAACAAGTGATTCTATGTGAGAGAAATCATGTGGATAGTCAGTATGTTGATAAACAACCAAAGCAGGCAGTTTTACTGCTGCGCGGTCGACCGCGATGGGCGCGGCGGTTGACCGCACAACAGTCGGGCACTCAGGAGATATTTTTCCTGTTGTGCGGTCGACCACGCTGGGCGCGGTGGTCGACCGTGCAACAGGCAGATTGTTTTTCTAGGTATGGGTCTTAACGGGTTTCGGGTCAAGTTTGTCGGGTTAGTATATATATATTTATACCCGAGAGAGGCTTCTCTTCATCTGAAATCAGAAACCCTAGCCCTCTCTCTTTCCCCTCAAACCCTAGTTTTCATTCTTTGGTGATTTGGAAGGAGTTTCGAAGGGTTTTTCAGCGGATTTTTGGTGGGATTCAGCGAAAGGGATCATCCTCCTACAGATCTAGGGTTTTATTCTCATCAGAGGCGAGTAACATCTCACCCAACTTCACCCCTTTTGGTTTTCATGCTTAAACTTGTGTTTTAATCTGGTTTTATTAGGCCTAAATCGTATTTTATGTATAGATAACTGATCTTTATGGCATATGATGTGAGAATCAAACTTTTTAGATTTTTAAAAGCTCACCAACGAATTTTAATTAATGAGATCTAGATCTGAAAATGTTTTTAGCAAAAGTTAATCCTGTTTTTACTATTTTAAAAACATCTAAATCATGTTTATATATGTTTGGGATCTTGGTGATAGATTTTAAATGTTTAAATTTGCTGTTTTCTGCCAAATGACACATTAGAAATATTAGAATTTCAATAACATAAGAAATCATCAAGTGTAACTGTTTTCGAAGCTGACAGAAACCCTTACTGGGCTTCTGTCTGCTTCGCGATCGACCACGGTGGACGCGGCGGTCGACCGCTGGACGAGCAGGAGGGCAGAGACTGTCTGCCCTCTGCGCGGTCGACCGCGGTGGCACGACGGTCGACCGTGGGTCGTTCAGTTGAGCACTGGGGTTCTGCTCTGGTCGCGGTCGACCGCGATGACCTCTGCGGTCGACCGCCGCTCAGTTTTTGAGCTCAGTGATCCTCGGTTCTGTGTGC